TTCCCCCTGCACCACCCTGCAATGCACTCGGATGCCCGGTCTGTCCCTGCTCCTGTGGCCAATGGAGATTCCCATTCTCTTCTTCGCAGTCCTCCTACTTTGGGGAGATCAGCATCGGGGACCCCCCCCAGAACTTCACAGTGCTCTTCGACACCGGCTCCTCCAACCTGTGGGTGCCCTCCACCTACTGCAAGAACCCAGCGTGCTGTGAGTACCACATCGCACACAGCTCCCAGCAGCTGGGCTGGGGCAGCCTGGAGAAGAGAAGGTTCCTGAAGGGGAGACCTGAGAGCAGCTCCAGTGCCTAAAGGGGCTGCAGGAAACCTGGAGAGGGGCTTGGGACAAGGGATGTAGGAACAGGCCAAGGGGAATGGCTTTAACCTGCCAGAGGGGAGACTGAGCTGAGCTCTTAGGCAGAAGCTCTTCCCTGTGAGGGTGCTGAGGCGCTGGCACAGGGTGCCCAGAGAAGCTGTGGCTGCCCCATCCCTGGCAGTGTTCAAGGCCAGGTTGGACACAGGGGCTTGGAGCAAGCTGCTCTAGTGGAAGGGGTCCCTGCCCGTGGCAGGGGTTGGAGCTGCATGAGCTTTAAGGTCCCTTCCAGCCCAAACCAGTCTGGGATTCCATGTGCCTTGCTAATGGAGATGGCCAAATCCCTATGACCACTGTGGGTGCAGGAATCTTGCTGGCAGTGCCTGAGCTGGCATGGAAAAAGCAAAGCTGTGAATCATGGAGCTGATGTCCTGCTCCCTGGCACTCACCCCATGTCACTCCCTGCTGATGGCTTTCCTGACGCTGAGGCTGATGTGGTTGGGATTGCAGTGCCCGTTCCCCGCAGAGGGATGCAGGCAGAACCGGGATGCAAACCCTGCCTTAGAGGTAACTGTGAGGCAGAGGCACAGCCTGTTCTGCTCTTCCAGACCTGCTCCCTGCAGGAGAAACTGCTTTCCCAGGCGTTATCCTGGCAGAGCGACCGCAGGTGAGTCCCCATCCCAGCCCGGTTATCGCGTACCCAGGAGCTGTGCCCTCTTCTCTCTCATGCAGTCAACCACATGAAGTTCAGGCCCAGAGAGTCCTCCACCTTCATCACCAACGGGCAGTCCTACACCCTCTCCTATGGCAGCGGCACGCTCACGGTGCTCTTGGGCTATGACACACTAAGGGTGAGTGCGCCCGCGATGCCCTCGTCTTCCTGGCCACTGTGGACCAGTTATTGCCACTATCGGTTACCCAGCTGGCTTTTAGGTTGGTTTTAATGCGATTGCTGCTCATTTCCCAGCTGCCTGGTGATGTTTCTACTCACAGTTGGCCCCTTGGGCTTTCAGAGCATCCATCATCCCACCCAACCCCTGCTTGGCTTCCCTAAGTGCACAGGCTGACCGGGCATCTCCTTCCCCTCCAGATCCAGAGCATCACGGTCACAAACCAGGAGTTTGGGCTCAGTGAGAACGAGCCAACGCAGCCTTTCTACTACGCGGATTTTGATGGGATCCTGGGAATGGCCTACCCCTCGCTGGCAGTGGGAGGGACGCCCACCGTGCTGCAGGGAATGCTGGAGCAGAACCAGCTCGCCGAGCCCATCTTCAGCTTCTACTTCTCCCGGTAAAAAACCCCACACATCCTAATGCAGCAGCATCCCTCTGCCTGTCCCCATGCAGCTCCCTGCTGGGTTTGTCCCTCGCTACCCCATGCGCATTGCACTGATTTACCCACCTCTGCTGCTGTAACTCTTGGGTTTTTGCAGCGATCCCACCTACTACTATGGAGGAGAGCTCATTCTTGGAGGAGTTGACCCTCAGCTCTACTATGGGGACATTGCATGGGCACCAGTGACCCAGGAGCTCTACTGGCAGGTTGCCATTAATGAGTGAGTTGTATTTGTACCTGATGGGCACGATCCACCCCGGCAGCTCCTGCAATGAAGGCGGTACAGTTGTCTTCCACAACAGCTTACTGCAGCAGGCATGGGCTCGAGGCAGGGCTTTGGCACTGCACTTCAGAGCATCCCAACGTATAGATCCAGCCAAACCAGGTTTAGTTGCCGGTGGGTGCTTGAAATGGTGTCCATCCCCTTATCCTCCCCCCAGGTTTGCCATCGGGCAGTCAATGACCGGTTGGTGCAGCCAGGGCTGCCAGGGCATCGTGGACACGGGGACGTTCCTGCTGACGGTGCCTGAGGAATACATAGAGAGCTTCCTCCAGGCCTTGGGAGCCCAGCTCACCAGCTATGGGGTGAGCACGCAAGGGATGCTTTGGGGGTGCCTGTGGAGCAGGGGGGAGGCTTGTGAGTGAGCTGTGGGCCCCCAAAACTCAGGTGGCATCTACAGAGCAAGGTACTGTGGGCATGTTAGGGAAAGATGAGGTGACATGGCACTGCCAGGGGATAAGGTGTTACCCCCACGTATGGGGGTATCTCTCATGGTGGGTGCTGTCCCAGCCATAACCTCCTCTTCACCATCTCCCCACAGTATGCAGTTGACTGCAATGAGATCCAGAACATGCCCCCCATCACCTTCGTCATCGATGGAGCTCAGCTCCCACTCTACCCCTCTGCCTACGTCTTGAACGTACGTATTAGCCCAGCAGCTCCATCCTGCCTTATGGACGGGCCAGGAGAGGAGCCGGTGCTTCCCTGTATCCCACCCAGCAGGCTCTGACTCCCCGTTATTCCTCTCTTACAGAACAACGGTTACTGCACTCTGGGCATCGAGGTCACCTACCTGCCTTCCCAGAACGGGCAGCCGCTCTGGATCTTGGGCGATGTCTTCCTCAAGCAGTATTACACCATCTTCGACATGGCAAACAACCGCATCGGCTTCGCCCCATCGCTGTAGAGGAGCAGAGCCGCAGAATCCAGCCCCTCTCCTGGCCTGGCTTCGGCAGCATTCGGAGCGCTGCGGGCTTCCTCTGGACCTTGATGTTCCTCTCTGTGCCCGCACGGCTCCCTGTCCCTGCGGGATTTCTGTGCTCCCGCAGTCTCCTGTTACAAATAAACCTCACCATCCCCAATCATCACCCGCTTCTGTCCTCCTTGAAGCCCAGAATGAGAGTCCTGAGCCTGATTCCTGCCAGGGCTTCGCTTTGCAGGTGAGCAGCACCCCGCGCCAGGCTGCAGTGCACCAGAGCATCACCGGGGTTGGTCTCAGACCCCAACCATAGCCTTGGGGATGGGATTCCCCACAAAGCCAGTTCTGCTCTGTGCCATCGGGGTGTGTGAATGGAAAGGCCGTGGGGCTCCTCAACCTTCATCGTCCTCCAGCCGCTGCTCGCTGCACCGAGGCTGATGCTCCCCAGCTCCTACCCAGGCAAATACCGAGTGGTGGTGGACATCGCTTTGCCTGCTGTTTGTGGTGACCTCGGTGATGCCGTCTTGTCCGGTGGGTCCCCACCTCCATCCCTCATTGGGCACTGGGGAAACCTCATCAGAGGTGCATGTGGGCAGGCACTGCTCTTCCTTGTAGCTGGATAAGGCCCTGTGATTAAGGCGAAGTGGGAATATGAGAGCAGCTTAGGTTAGCCATGGCATCCAAATGAGCCCCAAACCCTCAAGTGGGGCTATTCGGGTAAAGCACATCAGGAATGGTCTGTGGCTGAAGGGGATGGGGAGCACCTTGGCCGGGGAGGGCTCGGGTAACACCGCTCATTCCTGGGATCCAAACTTGTTTCTGGGAAGCTCTTCACCCCCGGAGCTCATTATGGGATGTGTTAATAGCACTGTCATTTCAGCAGAGAAAGGACACAAACTCCTCCGTGCTTTGTGTCAAAATATTGACACAGGCTGAGTGCGGCGAGACAGGGATGGGATGTGTGGGTCTGGGATGTGTGGGTCTGGGATGTGTGGGTCTGGGATGCGTGGAGCTGGGATGCGTGGAGCTGGGATGCGTGGAACTGGGATGCGTGGAGCTGGGATGCGTGGAACTGGGATGCGTGGATCTGGGATGCGTGGAGCTGGGATGCGTGGAACTGGGATGCGTGGAGCTGGGATGCGTGGAACTGGGATGTGTGGAGCTGGGATGCGTGGAACTGGGATGCGTGGAGCTGGGATGCGTGGAACTGGGATGCGTGGAACTGGGATGCGTGGAGCTGGGATGCGTGGAACTGGGATGCGTGGAGCTGGGATGCGTGGAGCTGGGATGCGTGGAACTGGGATGCATGGAGCTGGGATGCATGGAGCTGGGATGCGTGGAACTGGGATGCGTGGAGCTGGGATGCGTGGAACTGGGATGCGTGGAGCTGGGATGCGTGGAACTGGGATGTGTGGAACTGGAATGCGTGGAGCTGGGATGTGTGGGTCTGGGATGCGTGGGTCTGGGATGCGTGGAGCTGGGATGCGTGGAACTGGGATGCGTGGAACTGGGATGTGTGGAACTGGGATGCGTGGAGCTGGGATGTGGGAGTTTTTCCTCTGAAATGGGGGTGGGGGTCTGAGAGCTGGAGCTGCTCCGGCAGCAGTGGTGGCAGGAAGGGAACAGGTGAAGGTTGACCACGTCCCTGCTGGTCTTCGCTCTTCCCTTTGCTCCCTGCAGGATCCGTCCAAGCAAAGGCAGATCCATCAGGATGCGATGGAGGAGAAAGGGATGCGGGGGCTTTTCCTGAGCTGCTGCAGGCTCAAAGCAATGGTCCAGCCCCAAAGTGTGCATGGAAGCAGCTCAGCTCCCCTGGGGTCCATCCCTGCTGCTAGCAGGGACTGGGGAGCCTGCAGGAGCCCTGCATCACAGGGCAGCGGGGCGGCTCCTGCCTACCCGGAACAGCAGCATCATGAATTTCCACTTACCACAAAGGGTGTGTTTTGCCTTTGTTTTCTGGAACGATCAAGCTGGTGCTTGAAGGCAAGAGAAAATACTTTAACTTCTTGATAGCAGCATAATTTTGCTTTTTATCAGATGTCACATATTTGGTCTCGGTATCAGAGGCACTGGACAATTAGCGGCTGAATAGCTGGGTAAGGAAGGGAAATCAGGGCGGCTGCAGTGACAAACACTGCGAGCGTTGGTGTGGGTGGGTGCAGCGATAGGGGAAAGGGGTGTCTGGAGCAGGGACTGGGCACGGCTCCCAGCTATATACACCCTGTCCTGGCCAAGGTGCTGCAGGAGCTGCCATGGAGCCACCAGCAGCCAGGGCTGTGCGGTGCCTGGTGCTGGCCCTGCTCTGCCTCCAGCTCGGGCAGGGGATGGTGAGGTGAGGCCAGGGTGGGTGCCAGGGCGCAGGGTCTGGCCTCAGTGCATGTGGATGGGTTCACTCAGCATCTTGGTGCCATCTCCATCCCGCGCAGGATCCCCCTGAGGAAAGGCAGGTCCATGCGGGAGGTGATGCGGGAGAAGGGGGTGCCGGAGCGTTTCCTGATGGACCTCAGAGGGGACCCTGGTAGGAAATACCAGCTCAGTAACGCTGTGGCTTATGAACCGCTAGCGAACTACCTGGATGTGAGTATTGAACCTTTTCCTTCCTCCTCTGGGTTCTGGTGTTCAGGAATGTCCTCCTCCCTTCCCGGCCGCTGCAGGAAGCTCCAGCTCGGCTGCCTCCCCAGCCAAGGGGTTGCAGTGGGCATGGGCTGTCTCTGTAGCCTGGCTCGGAAGGATGGGTGATGCTGGGAGCCAAGCAGGAGGCAGCACATCTCATCCTGAATTGGCTTCCCTTCTCAGAAGAAGCAGATCTTGATGGTTAGAGAAGTTCTGCTGCTCCTGGCCTTGTGTTGTAGGCAAATCACTGCCCCTTTCTGTGCTTCAGCTGCCCTGGGAGCACTTGAGGAGCAGGAGCCCTTCCAGACCCGGAGCAGTTTGGGTTTCTCAGCTCGCAGAGGGCAGAGAGCTGGAAACTCTCATTCAGAAGAGCAGCCAGCAGCAGCCATCCACAAACGCTCTTGTTCACAGTCCTTCTATTTCGGGGAGATCAGCATCGGGACCCCCCCGCAGCATTTCCTGGTGCTCTTTGACACCGGCTCTGCCAACCTTTGGGTGCCCTCCACCTACTGCCAGACCCCAGCGTGCGGTGAGCATCCCTTGGGATACAGCAGAGCCAGGGCCAGGCATCCCCTGCATGTAATAGACTGGAGCTGTGACAGGGAATTCAGTGAGAGCCGATGGGGTTTGTCCTCTGCTCTGTGCCACCGGTGGGGCTGGCTTTGGATGGCCCCTTGCTGGGGACCGGGATGCGGGTCCAAGGGCAGGATGTGACCTGGGGGCTTCTCTCCATGCAGTGGATCATGCCAGGTTCAACAGCAGCCTCTCAACCACCTTCTCGGGCATCGGCGAGACCTATACCCTGAGCTATGGGTTTGGTGACCTGTCGGTGGTGTTGGGGTACGACACTGTGACAGTAAGTGAGTTCTATGTGTGCGACCCGGGTAAGACGTGGCTGGGGTTGTGACCCACCTCATTTGGTTAAGAAATGGCAGGGGGAGCTCAAAGTACCTTCTTGGTCTGGATATTAGTGCCTGAATCTCCCATAGGGCATAAACTTACTTGGAGACTGGGATTTGCAACCAACTCAGTCTGAGCCCCCGGGCTTTTCATCACTGCTTTGGGTTAAGGGATAACTTTGGCCATAAGCGCTTGCTTTTTACACTGATGGCTGAGCTTTGTCATTGCAGGATGTAAGAAATGAGACCTGCTTGCAGTGAAAATGGGATTTTTAAAGCAATTTAACCAAGGCAAACAACTTTGGGGGGTATTTTTGTGGAATAATAAGCGTGATGGGACAAAGACTACAAGCCATCTCCCAGCATCTTTCCTCTCCCTTTAGATCCAGAACATTGTCATCAGCAACCAGGAGTTTGGCCTGAGCCTGGATGAACCCACCAGACCCTTTTACTACCAGGACTTCGATGGGATTTTGGGCATGGCTTACCCAGGCGTTGGCGTCCCTGGTTACAACACACTGATGCAGAACATGCTGCAGCAGAGCCAGCTCGCTGAGCCCATCTTCAGCTTCTATTACTCTCGGTGAGACAGCAGGTCTCTCTCTTCCATAGACACAGCTTGGATCTGTCCTTTCCTTATTCCCTCTCCATCCACGTTTCCTCCCACTTTATGCTACACAGCTTTCTCCTGAGCATCCTGCCTGAACTTTGGGGTTAATTTTGTGTCTTTCCAGCAACCCATCATATAGTTATGGCGGGGAAGTCATCCTCGGAGGGGTTGACCCTCTGCTGTACTCAGGGGAGATTTTATGGGCTCCTGTGGTCCAAGAATTGTACTGGCAGATCAGAATTGAGGAGTAAGTGCTGCACCATGGCTTAGAATGGGGCTTGGAGTGGGTGGGGGGCCTTTTCTGATGCCTTTTTTGCTGCTCTCTAAAGGTTCTCCATGGGGCTCTCAGCCACCGGCTGGTGCAGCCAAGGCTGTCAGGGCATTGTGGACACGGGGACGTTCCTGCTGACGGTGCCAGGACAATTCCTGTCAGCATTCCTGCAGGCGCTGGGTGCGGAGGAGAGCGACTACGGGGTAGGTTAAAGGATGCCATGCACAGGAGGGGCTGATGAATGCCGTGGGATGAGGAAGCGTTTGGTGGCAATGCTGAGCTGTGGGGGGCCCCCAAGCATCTCTGCCCCTCTTTGCTTCTTTTGCAGTTCGTTGTCAACTGCAGCGACGTCCCGAGCCTGCCCACCCTTTACTTTGCCATCAGTGGAGCCCAGTTACTGCTGCCTCCCTCTGTCTATGTGTTAAACGTAGGTGTGACTTATATCAGCCCCAATGTGTGTTTGCCATCATGGGGTAGTTCAGCCCAAGGGCTGTGTTTCCCACCTGCTGATTTCATGATGCTTTTGCATCTCTGTGACCGTAAGGGTGGTTTAACCCCAGCCAAAGTAGCCACAAAGGCCTGGGCAACATCACACACACACACACACACACACACACACACACACACCATTGGTACTGAAATTGGTTCCTTTTCTCCCTTACAGAATGATGGTTTCTGCACCATTGGGGTGGAGAGCACGTACGTGTCCTCTGCCAGTGGGCAGCCTCTCTGGATCCTCGGCAACCTCTTCCTCCGGCAGTATTACTCCATCTTTGACATGGCCAACAACAGGGTTGGCTTTGCCCTGTCAGCTTAGGGATGCTGAGCATCACCCGGAGCATATCTGCCCCTGTGACATTGTTCTCCCTCGGACCTATGTGTGGTGATGAGTAGCCTCCAAATGTCCTGTACCGAATAAAGAACTGCAAAGGTCACTGCCTTGTGTCTCAGCTGAGCAGGACCTGGCACAGCTCTTAATAAAACAAAGTCTGAGATGATGCTTGAAGGTTCCAGGCACTGCCTGGGCTTCCAGATGTGCACGGAGCCTTTGAATTTGCAGCAATGACCAATTTGGGATCACCTTTTTGACTGGGAACCAGATCCCTGGCTGGGAAAGCAGGATGAGAGGAAGAGATTCGTGCTGAGCCATGGCTTGGGGACCCCAGGGCTGAGCCGATGTGGTTGCTGGAGGCTTCAGGAACCAGTTTGGAGCAGGATGTGCAGAGACAAGGAGCTGCGTGTGAACAGCTCCCGGGTCATTAGGTTTGGGGGAATTGCCCACACGTATTTGCAAATAAATGAGGGATTGGAAGGTGTCGCGCTGAGGAAAATGCCCTGGTTTTGTTCTCTCTTCATTGCTGCAGCTGCAAAGGGCAGACAATGAGAAGGAAGGGGTGGCAAGTCTGGGATGTGAATGTGACCAAAGCTTGGTGTGTCTGGATCCCCCCCCCCCCCAACGAAGAGCTGCTGGATGCACCATCAGACAAGTTGGACCAGACCCAAGAGGCTGGTCCTCGAGGTCTGGCATGGGAGATGCATCACCGAAGGGCCCCCTCACCCGTTCTCCAGCACCCATCTCCCAGTCAGATGGCAGTCACCCTGCTGGGGTATGTGACCACCTTTTAAACTGGCTTTTTGCAGCCAAATCTGCCATGGTGGGTCCTGCAGAGCTCAGACACTGAGAGCCATGGCAGCCTGGTGGCAGGGTCACCCTGTGCAGTGGGGTGGCAGCATTGGGCTGGGCAAGGAGTCCCCACCTTATCCCAAGTCCATCCTATAGGAAAAACTCCTCAGTCCATGCATCCCTGCACAGATTCCACCTTGAGGGTCCTGTCTGGGGGGAATCAAACACCCCTAGTCATTAAGCAGGGACCTATGGCTGTTGCTGCCCAGGATGCTCACCACGGCTGCAGCAAGCCTATGGCACCGGGGCAAGAAACCGTGGGATCCTGGTGTAAGGAGTTGTACAACCCTAATGGAAGGAGCCACATGCCCCTAGTGCAAGAAGCCACAAACCCGTAGTGCAAGGAGCCACAAACCCCTAGTGCAAGGAGCCACATGCCCCTAGTGCAAGGAGCCACAAACCCCTGGTACAAGGAGCCACATGCCCCTAGTGCAAGGAGCCACAAACCCCTGGTACAAGGAGCCACAAACCCCTGGTACAAGGAGCCACATGCCCCTAGTGCAAGGAGCCACAAACCCCTGGTGCAAGGAGCCACATGCCCCTAGTGCAAGGAGCCACAAACCCCTAGCGCAAGGAGCCACATGCCCCTAGTGCAAGGAGCCACAAACCCCTAGCGCAAGGAGCCACATGCCCCTAGTGCAAGGAGCCACAAACCCCTAGTGCAAGGAGCCACATGCCCCTAGTGCAAGGAGCCACAAACCCCTAGTGCAAGGAGCCACATGCCCCTAGTGCAAGGAGCCACAAACCCCTAGTGCAAGGAGCCACATGCCCCTAGTGCAAGGAGCCACAAACCCGTAATGCAAGGAGCCACATGCCCCTAGTGCAAGGAGCCACATGCCCCTAGTGCAAGGAGCCACAAACCCCTGGTACAAGGAGCCACAAACCCCTGGTGCAAGGAGCCACATGCCCCTAGTGCAAGGAGCCACAAACCCCTGGTGCAAGGAGCCACAAACCCCTGGTACAAGGAGCCACAAACCCCTGGTACAAGGAGCCACAAACCCCTAGTGCAAGGAGCCACATGCCCCTGGTGCAAGGATGCGCATGATCCCGGTGGAAAGAGCTGCTACAAGACCCATACACCCGGGCTGCAGGACTCGTGCCCTGCGCCGCCTTCACCCCCGTTCCGAAGGTGGAAAAACCCGTTTTTGGGGGAGGAAATCACCGAGCCCAGCCCCGGCCGTGCCCGAGGCGGGGACTACAAGTCCCGGCAGGCGCGGGCAGCCCTGCCCCGCTCCGGACTACAGCTCCCGGCGTGCTGCGGAGCGGAGCGGGCCGTGCCGAGCCGAGCCGAGCCGAGCCGGGCTGGGCCATCCGTGCCGAGCCGGCCGGGCGGTGCTGCCCTCCCTCGGTGCGGGAGCAAGCGGGGCCGGGCCGAGTGGAGCTTGAACGGAGCGGAGCGGTTCCGTCTCCCCGCAGCCACAGAGTGAGTGCCGCGGACGGGGCGTACCGGGGGGGGGGGGGGGGGACGACGACGGGGGGACGGGACCCCATCTCGGGGCTCTTTGAACTCGCAGCCCCGGGGTTGGTTCTTGTTTGCGCTCCTTTGCTGTGAATGTTAACGTGTTCCCCCCCCACCCCGGCCCGGCCCGGCCCCCAGCGGGAGCAGCCCCGCGGCTGGGCAGGGATCGGGGGGGGGGGGGTCTCCGGCCGCTTGGTTGAGTGCCCCCCAACCCCGCATGGAAAGAGCCCCAGGAGGAGATTTGCTCGGGTCGCCGTTACCAAACCCCCCCCTCTCCTCCCCGGACCCTTTACTCTATGCGAGGGGAAACTGAGGCACGGATGCGGCAGCCCCCGACGCGCGGGGTTCACGGGGGAGTTTGGGTGCATCGACCTCCTTGGACAGGGTGCAAATGCCTTCCTTTGTGGGGTGCAGCAGAGTGGGGTCCCACCCGGAACTGACTTCCCCCCTCCCCTTGCTGCTTTGGGGGTGTGCAGAAAGAGTTGGGCTCCCCCCCCACATCACACAGCTTTTAGAGGGGTTACCGGGAGCGTTGCGACTTGCTCCTCTGGGGCAGCAGGAGTGGGGCAGGGGCTGCACTTCACCTACAGCCGCCGATTAATTGTATTCATGACTTAATTGCGAAGCAGGAAGGATTACGACAGCCCTCATGGCCGTGTCCCCTAGAGCCTCAGTGAGTCAGAGGATGGGGAAATTTCCTTAAAGCCCCAAAAATACCCTAGGAAAGAGAGAGAAAAGATGGTGGGTATTGTTGTTGTGCTGCTCTAAGGTAAATAAATCAGCCTGTGCGAGTCAGGGGCCTGTTTCCAGGAATCCCGGCGCTTCTGCGCGTTCCCGGCCCTTGGGGCACGGGTGGGGGGGGGCTGTGATTTGTTTTATGTAACAGCAGAGAGCGGAGCAGGCAGAAAGGGCCGGAGTTTGGGGGATTCCTCGTGGGTTTTTCCCCCTCCTTCCCCCTTTAGTTTTCCCTGCCATGTTTGCTCGGCTTCATGCACGGCTGCTCCGCGGCCGCAGGCTGGTTTTTCCCTGCTCTGGGTGCCCGTTGAGCCTGCGCTTACCTGCTGCGGGGGGACCCAGCAGGGAAAACCACGCTGGGACCGATGGGCCTTTGGGAATCGGGCTGCTGGAGGTGGGAAACCACCAGATTTAGGCTCTGGGGTGGGTGGGGATGGCTGCGATGGGCAGCGTGTGCCGAGCCCATGGTGTGCACGGAGGGGGAGCCGGTGTGTTTTCCGAGGGATGCTGGCTTTACCTCCCGAGGGATGCTGGCTTTGCCTCCTGCCCTTATCAGTAGGAAACTGCTCCGGGGTGGAGCTGCCTGCCATGGGGCGACTCCGGCATCTGGGTGTTTGGGATGGATGGAGGTTGTGATTCCAAGCCGGGGCTTTTATTTCTTTTTCCATGCTTCACGGTGCCGGGTTTACGGCCCATGTGTTTCTGGTCCCACCCCTGCCCTGCCACTGCCTGTGCAGTGATGAGGTTTCCCTGTTTGCCGGTTCTTGGTGGTGCTGTGGGGAAAGGGAAGAGCCCTGTGCCCACAGGGACAAAAGGGGTGAATCATTGGAGCAGGGGGGAAGTGTCCAGGGCTGCAGTGGGGTAGCCGTGGGGAACAGAACAGCCACTGCAGGGAAATGGGGCTTTGGGGGGGGGGGGGGGGCTCCTCAAAAGTGTGTGCATTGAGGGTAGAAACAGCCCTTAGGTTCCCTGTGTGCTGGGGTCTCGATGTTGAGTTGATGCAGGAGGTCTGAGCCCTGTGTTGCTGCTGTTCCTTTCTGGGGGTGCGGATGGATGGTGGGGAGGGATGGGGCTCTTCTGATGCTGGCCATGGCACATCCCCATCATCTCTGGGCCTCGTCCCTGGGCACATCTGGAGTTTGGGACCTGGGTTTTTGAGTGGGATGGACCTTGAGCTGCACTTGCCAAAAGGGAGCCATTTCATAACCCAGTGGTGTCCTTGGTGTAGGCAGCATCACGGCATCCCATGGCCGCCACATCCCATGGCCGCAGCCCATGCTGGTGTCAACCCACGGTGGCTGTTTCATGAGAGGTTCCCTGACCCTGTCTTCGCTGTGGGAGATGGACAGGGCTCTTCACAGACACAGGAGCTAGTGCTGGGTGCTGACAGTGTAATGCTTGGAGGGACAAAAAGGGTGATGTCTCGGTGAACACGCAGGAAATACGTGCTCATCTGTTGGGTTTCTCTTGTCCCCCATTGGTACATCCAGAAAAAGCCCCTGTGGTTCCCCTTTCGAGGTCATGCCCCACCGCAGGGTTGGTGCCTGGTTTCGGTCCGAGTGGGTTTTCCTTGCTGATGTACATGTAGGTAGGGTCCCATGACGTGGCCAGCGCAGGGATGCAGGAGGCTGAGCCCCGTGCTTTGGGATGAGCTCCAGTTCCAGCTCCTCGCCTTGCAGGGAGACCCGTGAGTTGGTTGGAGGTGGAGGCACCAATGAGAACCAGGAGCGATGGGCGCGATGCCGGCCCGATGCCGGCCCTGTCCGGCTGATGCTGACAGCCGGATTTGATGGAGCTGTCCCTTCTCCCAACACCTTCCCCCTTGGTTTCTGTGGAGCAAACGGGCAGCAGAGCAAAGCTATAGATAGAAGAAAGAAAGAAAGAGGCAGGAACCACACGGTTTCCCTGCGGGCAGAGGAGGAGCGCGGGAGGGTCGAGCCCCGAGCGATGGAGGTGAGCTCGGAACCACGCCAGGAGCTGCTTGGCGTGGTGATGGTGGCTGCGTTCACCTGGATGGAGTCTCCTGGGAAGGGCTCAAGGTCTTTCAATGACACCTCCTGCCCCAGCCCCGCGGTCCCAACAGCCTGTGCAAGGAGGCTGTGCCGTCTTATTTTTAAATC